TGTGGAAATTGAGGAGAATGTGGTAGAGGCCACAAGCACCCCCAGACACCGTGCCATGAGAATTCAGAGGGGAGGGCACCTCCAACTGGAGAGAAAGCTAGGAAGGTTTCAGAGAGGAGGTGGCATTTGAGCTAATTTGAACCTCAGGTGGTTGGCAGGGAGGGAGAAAGAGATTATGTCAGGCACGCATGTCGAGACAAGAAAATGTGGCTGGTAGTCCTGGTAGGCCAGTGTGGAGGAGAGTTGTTTTATTTTATTTTTAATTGACACACAATAATTGTGCATATATACAGGATACAGTATGATGTTTTGATACCTGTACCCGTTGTGTCATGACTGAATTAGGGTAATTAGCAAATGCGTCGCCTCAAACATTTATCATTTCTTTGTGCTAAGAACATTCAAAATCTTCTCCTCTCGCTCTTTTGAAATCTACAATACGTTGTTGTTAACTGCAGTCACCCTCCTGTGCAATACAACAGCAGAACTTATTTCTTCAGGAGAGTTGTAGAAGATGAGGCAGGAGTGCCTGGGGCTGAAGTCTGACCTGAAGCACCTTCAGTGGGAGAGGCAGTAGCTTCTTCTGGAAGTCACATGGGCATAGTGGAAGGGTCCTGAGCAGGGGCGGGGTGGGAGCTGTGCTGAGGGGGTTAGATACAGGTGGTGAAGGAGGTGCCTGGCTCTCAGAGCAGGCTCTGTCGCTTAGAGCCGGCTGCTGGCTATGATGGTGAGAGGCTGGCCAGGCTGGGCCAAGGTTGCTGCTAAGGGTGTGTGAGCAGATGCTCTGTAGACTACACTTCCCAGGACAGGCTGAGCCCCTTTTTGGGTTAGGATGAAGGGCTAGAGGCTGCGGCCCCTTTGGTCTGTACCTCGTCTACTAAGGAACCCATCCCCTTTCCTCACTCTCTTCCTGCTCTTCCTGCCCACCTCCTCCCTCTACTCCTCCCCCTGCCCCTCTCCCTCCTCCTTCTCCCCCTCTTCCTCCTTCTCTTCCTCTTCTCCTCCCCCTCCTCCCCCTCCTGTCCCTCTTCTTCCCCCTCCTCCTTCTCCCCCTCCTCCTTCTCCTCTTCCTCCTCCTGCCACCTTTCCTTTCCCCCTTTCCTCTTTGCCTCTTTCCTGCAGCTGCAGCAGGCTGGGGGAGGGCTACCATCAAGTGGGAGGTGGGGGGAGCTGTACAGGGAGCAGGGCCCCTCTGCCGGTGGTGGTGGCCTGGAGAGGCTGGGAAGCTGGGATGGCCAGTGCGGGTGGCCGCTTGGCCTGGCTGGCCCTCCTGTGACTCCTTTGGTGTTTCCTCCAGCCCAGGGAATGAGGAGGTGCAGCTGGTATGGTGTGGAGGAGCCCAGCTGGGGGCTAGACTCAGGACATGAACACAGACAAGATCCCCGGGTGGTCTTTCTCTAGACCATGGCTGGGCTTCAGGGATCCTTGAATTTGTCTGTAAAATTGTATGTGTGTGTGTGTGTGTGTGTGTCTCCCTGGCTTCCATCAGATTACCCAAAAGATCTGTGACACCCCAAAGCTTAGACACCCCTTGTCAGTGCAACCCTCTATTTTCCAGAAGAGGAAACTGAGGCCTAGAGGGGGGCGTGACTTCCTGTGTCCCACCGCTAGTTCACTGCCAGCCTGGGCAAACCAAAGGAGAAGGACACTGGTCAGGGGAGCAGGGGTGCGGGAGCTGGCCCAGGGCTGGGGACAGAGAGGAGGGAGGGAGAGAGGATGGCAAGAAAGGAAAGCTCAGATTCGCCTGGGGAGCAGCCAACTGTGTGTTTGGTAGGGGCCAGCGTCCGGCCAGGATACCTGATCCCCTTCCCCAGGTATTGTTCGTGTACTTTCCCAGGGTCCATGGAGCTGGGCTGGGCAGACCGGGAGAGAGTGAAGGCAGTAACAAGTTGACTGTGTGTGTGTGTGTACATGTGGGAGGGGAGAGAAAGGAGGATCAGGAGGGAGGGGGGAAGGAGAGGGCTGGAGAATCACACAATGACACAAGGACAATGACAGGCAGGGGAGGAGGCAGAGGGCCTGCTGGAGGGGCAGACCCTCCGTCCCTGCCCTCAGAGGGGAGCTCTCCTGGCTCTGGAAGTCCTCTCCAGGCCTTGGGGCTGGAACAGTTGTGGATGGAGGCTGAGGCTTCTGCCAGAATTTTCCCGAGGGCAGTTCCAGAAACAAGAACCCGAGGGCTGTGTTCGCCCACAGGACTGGAGGCAGGTCTCAGGGCTTGCCTCTAAAATCTTATCAGTCCTTCCTCAGCCCCGCTTCTCCCTGCTCCCCACCCTCATCACGCGCTGTGACTGGTGTTGAAATTGCAGACTCTGGCAGCAGGAAGGAATCTTAGCAGTCAGTGAGCTCAGTGGTTTTAAAATTGTGTTCTGATGAGCCTTGGGGGCACCATGGGATGAACGGGGTGGGGCCAAGGGCTGAGGACACCTCATCCCCAGTGCGGTTCCCACCACGGCAGCACTGCTTTTACTGAGTAGTGTTCCTTCTAAGATTTTGTTTCGGAGAGTTTTTTGGCTAAAAGTATGAATTCTAGCCCTCCTGCCCCCTCCCCTGAGTTTTATGGGAGAGGAGAACTGAGGTTTAGGCTTGCTTAGGGTAACGGGGAATCCTGTGGCTGCGCTGGGTCTCCCAATGCCCAGACCAATTGCCTGATCTCTTCCTTCTCCCCAGAATGAGCTCAGTCTGAGGGAAGAGGAGACCAAAGTCCTAGCAGTGGAGAAGGAATGGGCCAGGGCTAGGGAGACACAGGAAGCCCCCTAGAAGGGTAGTGGCTCTCCTGCTGGCATAGCACAGGGTAGTCCTCCCAAAGAGAATCCTGGACCACGGGTCTGGCTGCCTGCTCCTGCCGGAGCACTGGGGAGGCATAAGCTCTTTGCTCCTCTAGTCCTTGGGTGTCAGGATGACTCTTGTGCCCTTGTCAGCTTGGTGGGAAGCTGTGGCAAGCCTGTCTCTCTGTCTTCCGAGGCTGAGCAGACAGATGAAAGCAGTCCCCAGCCACCCAGCGAGGAGCTCTGAGCAGCAGTGGCTTCTGGGCAGCTGTGGAAGGCCTTGTTTGCATATATGCAAATGATGCCTGGCTTCTCTCTCCCTGCATCATTCAGGCGGATCCAGGTGCTGCTGGAAGAGCTCCAGATCTTGCATCAAAACTAGCCTCTTGAATGGGCTTTTTGGTCCCTCAATGAGAAAATTCCTTTGAAATCTTTCCAAGACCCTGGGACCCTTCCTGGTCCCCAATTCCACTCCCGCTTTCCGTCATGTCAACCTCTCAAACTCTTGGAAACAGAGCTGAAGAAACAGATTTAGAGACAGCCGGGGTGGAGGGCAGCGCTCGAGCCTGGCAGCCAGGAGGTTCTAGGTGCTGGCCCTGGCCCTGCCATGGTGCCGTGTTTCCTGGATGAGGCCCCTGACTTGTCCCCACAATGTCCCTGAGGGGCAAAAGAAGAGAGGGGTTGCGGGTCCCTTCCAGCTCCCTTGGTCTGCAAATGTTTGCAAATGCCTGTGCACTGGGGATCTTTTGTCATAAATAACAGACACCCACTCAAGGCCAAGAAATTAAAAGATGGCCATTTTAGGAGGGCACAGGGTGTCTCAAGAACAGCCTTGAGTGGGCACGGGGTGGGTTCAGGAGGGGAGGAAGGAGGGTGTGGAGAGCTGCCAGCTCCCTCCATCTCTCTTCTCAGCTCCTTTCTGGGCAACCGCCTCCATCCTCTCCCTCTGGGGGCTGATTTTTCTCTGCTCCTCAGTGCACGTAGTGAAAAATGAATGTCCCACGGCGCCCAAGTTCAGGAAAAATGACACACAGAGACTGAGTCCAGTGTCTGTCAGGGCCCAGCACAAAGAAATGATCAATGTTGAGATGATGGGTTACTCTGATCTAATCACCACACACGGCAGGTACCAAAGCATCACCATGTACCCCATAAATATGGACAATTATTATGCGTCAATTTAAAAAGTCTGTCAGGAGCCTGATTCCAAATTACTGGGAGAAAACATCGATTAATTCAGCTTGAATGAAAAGATTCACTCTGGTTCATTCAGTCATGGCCAAGAGGTCAGGGACACGTAGGAGACTGTGGCTGCCTGAGGCCCACAGCCCTGGCTCTTCCAGGTGCTGAGTGTAAACTCCTTACAGGTGCTGGGTGTAAACTCCTTCCAGGTGCTGGGTGTAAACTTCTTGAGTGTTTACACCCTACTAAGCTGAATTGCAGTGAGAGCTACTGAGCCTTTACAATGAGCAGACGCCATGCTAAATAGGTTTCATACGATATGCATTCAATGCTATTATGATCACATTTAATCCTCACAACTATCTCTCTCTCTTTTATTTTTTTTGAGATGGAGTCTCACTCTGTCACTCAGGCTGGAATGCAGTGGCATGATCTTGGCTCACTGCAACTTCCACTTCCTGGGTTCAAGCGATTCCCGTGCCTCAGCCTCCTGCGTACCTGGGATTACAGGTGTACGCCATCACATCCAGCTAATTTTTGTATTTTTAGTAGAGACAGGGTTTCACTATGTTGGCCATGCTAGTCTCAAACTCCTGACCTCCAGTGATCCACCTGCCTCAGCCTCCCAAAGTGCTGGGATTATGCGTGTGAGCCGCCACCCAGCCCCTAACTCTTGAGATGGGTTTCATTATTCTATCCATTTTACAGAAAAGGAACCTGAGGACTGGTGAGGTTAAGAAACTTGTCTAAGGTCATCCAGCGAATATGAAGCAGAGCTGGGAATCTTACCTGAGTCTCTCTGAGCATCACGTTTATCTTCTCTAAAATAAGAACTTCTGTTTAATAGGACTCTCATGAAGCTGAAGACGTAAGACACAGTGAGTCCTTATCAGAGTGTTTGGCATGTACTAACCACTTGGTTATGATGAAGTGGCTCTTTGACCGCTGCTTGAAACCCTTGAAGAATTAGGCGTTTAGTATCTTCAAAGGCAGTCAATTCTTCCTCTGGGCAGCTCTGACTGTTAACAAATTCTTCATTTCCTGAACTTTTTTTGCTGGACTGAAATTGGACTTTCAGTAAACTCCTGTCTATCGGCCTTACCTCTACCAGTTAGGGGCTGTAGTCATTACCTCTCCAAAGTGTTCATGTCCTAATCCTCAGAACACGTTGTTTGATGATGAGGGGAAATTAAAGGTGCAGGTGGAACTAAGGTTGCTAATCAGCTGACCTTACAATAAGAAGGTTAACCTGGATGACACAGGTGGGTCCAACATAATCACCAGGGTTCTTAAACGATGGAAGGAGTCGGAAGAGGCGGTGTCGACTGAGGAAGACCTGACGTCAGAGACGGAAGGGAGCTACAAGCGAGGAATGTGGGCAGCTTCTAGAGAACGGAAAGGCAAGAACGTGGATTTTCCCCAGAGCCCGAAAGGAATGCAGCCCTCCTGACACCTTGACTTTCGGACCTCTGAGTCTCAGAGCTGAAAGGTAATACGTTTGTGTTGTTTTAAGCTGCTACGTTTGTTAGAGCAGCAATAGAAAAATGACTCCAGGCGTCATTCTAAGCAAATCAGAACACTGGTTCCCCGGAGTGTCTTCTTAGGCTGTACAACCCTGGTTCCTTCAAGTGCTCCTCACATAAATGTTTTAAAGAGCTCAAAGCCCTATCAGAATCAAGAGGAGATCATTAAGTTTGGAAATTAGTGGGGGGTCACCGGTGGGCTTTCTGTGGAGGTAAGTGATTTAAGCCTCGCGAACGGAAGGAGTCTAGGCCGTAGGGGTTTGCCACCGCGTGATGGTGGTGGTGTGGAAGAGGGTAAATGCAGGTATAATTTGTCACTTCTCAGGCTCTCTCAACACCATGCTAAATATCAGCGTAACCTTTAAAGAAGGCAGAGGCCATCAATTAAATAAACAGATCTTTGGTGGAGAGTGGAAGTGTAAACACAGGCACCATCTCATAATTTACTGATGGTAAATCAGCCTTATTCACTTGGTGGGCTGTTCTCTGTTCACCCTCAAGAAAAAGGAGGAAATCCATCACAACAGCATGAGGACCTTCATAAAACCTGCTAAGCACCAACATAGATTACAGAAAAAGGTTTGGCATTGTATTGCTGGGGGCTAAGCTTTTTAAATTTTTTTTTAAACCAAGAGGTTGCAGGAATTTGCTGGGAATGATTTAGTCAGTGCCTTTGGATATGCAGGGTGTGGATGAGATGATCTTTGGGCAATTCATCCTGCCTTTTAGTTCCAGGATACACAGGTTCCCGCTCATGATTAAACCATACATGCAGGTTGCTTAGTATAGATAGAAAAATACACTGAATCAGTGTATTTAGTTCCATTGACCTGAGGATGCGTGTGACACGTTCAGCAAAATCGGGCCAGGGATTAATACTGCGAACGTCAGGGTGGTCATTTTGGGCACACGGGGTAATCTTTTATAAGGGCTTTCCACTCTTCTATATCTTAGTTCATCTATAATGAACTGGCAAAGAGAGATGGTTATTAGCAAATAAAATGCACTTAGAGTCCCCCATGAATCATTTATGGAAGACACCACGCTTAGCAGAGACTATGAAAATATGGCTGTTAAGGGCAACTCGGGCGTTATTTCTGGATGACTTTCAAGCATGACCACTGGCTACAGGACTGGGCCTGGGCACGTGAGAAGAATTTAGGGCTTCAGATGGAAAGGCAAATGTGTGGGCAGAGTCTTGAGTCCAAGGGAGTGGCCTTCAGGAGTCACCCTGTGGTGGTGTCCACAGTGCGAGGCGTCCCTCGCCTGAGAAGGCAGCTTTGATGACTTGTTACATTTGCACGTTCCCCCCATGAATGAGAGAAAGAGAGGTCAGCTGCAAAGGCAATTAATTCAACACAACTGAGGTTTGGCAATTAACTTTTAAGTATGCAAGCAGTTGAGAGCGAGGAAGTGGTTTCCTCTTAGCACAGCCAGTGAAAGATGGCGTGATGTTATCAACGCTTTTGGGTAACCAGCAAAAAGTTTTTAAATTCCTACTCTGCCCACAGTCAGCGTATGAGTGGTGATAGCCTAATGATAGGGGTGTAGGAGCCCAAAGCAGGGGAGAATTGGTGTTCTCTGGATCAACTATAAATAGAACTTAAGATCTTTCTAGAAGGCTGGGGGAAGCAATCAGCTAGCTAAAGATTTGTGCAGGAGTTTGCCTGAGAGAACACTTCGACCTAGGCTTTTTATTTCCTTTACCATCTGTAACTAAAGCGAAATAGACGAGATGAGCTTCCCCACAGGTGAGTTCTATGACCGCCTGCTGGGAACTGGGCGGGGTCCTGTGGTGGAGGCGGCTGTAGGGCAGGAGGGCTCCACTTTGAATCTTTGCTCCCCCATGTTTGAGTTGTTGGACCCTGGAAGCCCTTTTACCTGCTTTGGACTCCTCTGTAAAGTAAGGGTCAAAATACTTACCTGGTAAAAGACTTGGCTATTATGAAGATGAAAAGATGTTTCATAAATCCACACTATGTTTTGGGGCTTGTGGCGAGATAGATATGCCTGTCCTGGCCGGGCGCGGTGGCTCACGCCTGTAATCCCCGCACTTTGGGAGGCCGAGGCAGGTGGATCACGAGGTCAAGAGATCGAGACCATCCTGGTCAACATGGTGAAACCCCATCTCTACTAAAACTACAAAAATTCAGCTGGGCATGGTGGCGTGTGCATGTATTCCCAGCTACTCAGGAGGCTGAGGCAGGAGAATTGCCTGAACCCAGGAGGCGGCGGTTGCAGTGAGCCGAGATCGCGCCATTGCACTCCAGCCTGGGTAACAAGAGCGAAACTCCGTCTCAAAAAAAAAAAAAAAAAAAAAAGAAATGCCTGTCCTGGGAGTGAAGAGATCTGGGTTCTGGTCCTGCTCCGACTACCAACCTGCTGTGAGGCTTTAGGAAAATCACCCCCGTACCCCTCTGGTGAACCCTGAGTTTCCTCTCACAGGGTGAGGGGGTGCACCACATGAACTACACTTTGCTGTTGAAAATTTATTTGGAAAAAAATTATTGATGTGCTGTGGACCTCACCCTTTCCAAGAGCAAAAGTGAGAGGTACCTGTCCTTCGTCTCAGATCTTGTGAAAGGAGCTTCAGGGAGACCACTGGGTTTAACATCTTGTATGACCTGGGCAGTTCAGCTTCCTGAACCCCTCTTCTGGACATTCTAACTCTGAAAAGGGCTGCCCCAAGAATTTTTTTCTTTTTAAAGAAATCACTGGAGATGTTTGGGAAGCACTAGATTGGATTCCCATCTTCTAGATATAGCCAATCATAAGAGTTACACAGTGGATATAAAAACAGACTTCCAGGATCTCTAGCAATAATGTCTAGAAAGCTGCATTTCTTTCAGCTCATATGATCAGGTATGTTTAGCAAACACGAGTCTAAATCTTAGAGTCAAAGTTTATGAATAGTTCTACTCAGGGCTGATGTTCAGCTAAGATACACAGATCTGAAGCCTTACTTGACTGGCAGCATGGAAAGATGGCCTCTGGGTGACTGATGCTCTTTCTTGGGTGTGATTGTGCGTCTTTAGGACTCCTTTCTTCTGCCTTCTCCTGCAGGTCCCTTGTCCAGGATGGCCACCCCTCAGCATGCCCACAACTCAGAGGAATTGGAAATCATCTCAGCTTTTCTCTGCTGAGGATTGCTCACCCCTGGAAGTGGCCTCTCTTGGACGGGGCCTGCTGTGACCACACCTGCTCTCCCTTGTACCATTGGCTCACAACTGGTCCAAGGGACACTCTTGGGTATCCCTGCCAAGACACATTCTGAGAGCATGTAGGTCAGTCCTAAGGCTGCAGAAACCTCTCCTTTCTTCCATAGTGGGAGCAGCCAGGCAGCTCATCTCTCTCTGCAAGCCCAGTGTGTCCATCCATCACAGCAGACATGTACCAAGCTTTCTGAGTGGTCTCCTGAAGCTCCTTTCACCACATTTGAGATGAGGGACAGGTAACTGTCACTCTTCTTCTTGGAAAGGGTGTGGCCCACAGCACATCAATAATTTTTTTTCCAAATACATTTTCTTCACAAATCTTTTCCCTTAATCTTGGAAAGCCAGGCCATTTTATACCCTCAATGTAGGTATGGGTGGGAAGCTTGAGTTCTCTAATAAGTTTTTAGCTCTTTCCTTGAAAATATGCATCATCTGGCACACTGGAATGTCATGCCTGTTGTTTCATGGTGTGTCAGGCAAACCTTCAGTTGAATATCTTGTTAAACTTCCTTTGGTCTTAGTGCAATTGCAGGTGGAGTTAGGAACAGCCATGGAATGTTCTAATGCTTGAAACACCACACTGTGCACCCATGTTCATGCCATGTATTTCTTGAGAGCTTCTTGGGAACCAGTGAATTTGGCTGGACCATCAGAAAATTTTGTGACTTCTCCCTCTGCCTATTGTCCAATGGCAGAGAGACGAACCCTTGCGGCCAGAAAAGACACTGGTGATTTCTCAGACTTGGAGAGCATTTTTCAGAGAGATCTCAGGGTGCTTTTTCCCTTTCTCTTTATTGGCTTCTTTGTTCCCCATAGGATGACTGATGAAGCCCAGCTCTCCTGGAGTTGAGTGTGGACAAATGGTAAAGAATCCCAGGTGTTTGTTGCTGTTCATCTTTGTCTTGAACATTTTGGAGGACTCTCACCTCCTACGACTGGAGAGGAGGTGAACTGACTTTCCAGGGCCTCTGTTGGTTTTAGCGTGGCAGAAGGGGTAGTGGGCATTGAGGAGATGGGAAAAGAGGGAGCAGAGAGAAGAGGCTGCCATCTTGATACCACCAAGGATGTCCAGGGTGGGGCTGGCCGGGACAGGATACCCAACCCTTCAGGCTAGATGTATCCATTTGTTGTCTCTGGGCATGTTTTCCATCTGTTTTTGTGTGTGGATGTTTATTCTCTTCTGCGAACTGGTCTGCCACACAACAAACTCAGAGTTTACCTGTATCCTCTGCTTCCAACACTCACACAGTCTCTTGTGCAGGTCACTGGACACAGTAGGCACTAAGTAAATGCTGACTGAGTGACTGAAGCTGAACGGACTCAATTAGAAGCAGTCACCAGAAAACCTCATTTACATTCAGTTCCCTTAATGCCACAAGTGTTCACAGAGGGCTTTCTAGGTGCCTGGCACCATGTGGAGACATTACATTATTATTTTGGTCGAAAGCCAACGGAGAGATCAAATTTAGTTCTCCAGCCAAACCTGGTTTAATAATGGTTATTATGGGGGACAAATCGGGATAAAAAAGGGAAGATAAGATGAAAAAAATCAGCCGTAACTCCACCACCAAGAAAATTATTGCTAATATTTTCTTAAATTTCTCTTGTTTCATGCATGTCGTTTTACATAATTGAATTTACTTTTATATTCAATTTTGTTTCCTTCATTTCCAGTATGATTTAAAACTTGTTTCTAAACATCATTTTGCTTCTTTATGTAACTTTTTTCCCATTGATAAAAATAATGCATG